CCTTAACTCTGAGGATTGGGCAGAGCAGCAAAGAGCTGGAGTAGTTGTGGTTCCATTCTGTCTGTCCAAGTTCTGTGGAACCATCTTGGTCCCTGTCTCTAAGCTCGCCTTGGTTTTTGGCTGTTCCCAAGTCAATTCCATGAGTTCCCAATCACATTCCAAGAGATTCCCTTTTGCCTAAGTTAGATAGATGAGATTCTGTTGCTTGCAACCAGAGCACCTCAACTAAAACCAGCACCGGGAACTTCTTGAGGAGCAAAGGAAACCATATCCTTGTAAAGGCAGGGTGCCCAGGGCCCGGGAGAGGCTTGGGAGCCCTGCTGCTTGGGGAAGAGAGTGGAGTTGGAGCCAACCTGAGATAGGAAGAGGACGTGGGAAGAGCGGCAAGGCTGCTTGATGCTAGGGAACCTGGAGGGGACAGAGGAGGCCGTGAAGACCGGTGCCGACAGCCAGCTGAGAGCCCCAGCATGACCGGGTGGAGAAGGCAGGTCTCGGCTGTGCTTCACACTCTTCATGTTTTGCTTGTAAAAAATTCTCTAGTTAAAACCTCTTTGGTTATTTAGATGAGGTCAGAGGAGCTAAGGAGGAGGGGAGATGGACAAGGAAAGGAGCCTGGAGGGTCTGGTCCGCGCCCAGGCTGGCACAGCTGGCACGCCGACTGTGCTGACTGAAGACACCTAAGGAGCTGTGAGTTCCTTTTAGTCACATTAGGACTGTCAGAGGGGGCGTGGAGGTGTCTGGGTGAAGCCACACCTGGGCTTGGCTTTAAGTACTCCAGACAAGCGGGACGCCAGGGTGAGTAACTCAAGCCCTGAGCATCTCCCCGAGCCTTTTCCTCCCTCCGCGTCTGGGGAGCCAAGACCTACGGGCTGCCCAGATGCAACCTCTGCTCCAGCTGGTCCTCAAGTCCTGCCTTTCCTATAATCAACCCTGGTGCCTCCTTTTCAGGTCTCGCTGCTCACCCCCCCCAATCTTTGCCCCATTATAGTCAGAGTCCTGGGCAGACAGAAGGCTGCCTCGGCCCAGTGGTGCTCTCAGCCGTGGAAGACCCAAGTCTGCCCAAGGCCAAACCCTGGCTGTCCTGCTCTTGAGGCTGCCGGCCGGCTGGTGGTTTATCAGTCATCACAGGCAAAGGACCTGGCCTCGCTCGGGTTTAATAGGACCCAGCGTATTTGAGGCACCAAATCCTGTGGGTGGAGCCCACTGAAGTAGCTGCTTAAATCCTTAAAATCACAGGGAAATGTGGGAAAGATGCAGTTACACGTTCTGCCTGTCTTTCTATGAATGGAGCAGATCCTGAGAGCAGCCTGGAACTCCGTGATGTTTCCAGGGATTTTATGTTCTTACATTTGAGGGTCGTACCTTTGAGTCACTGTCCCAAGACTGCCCCCAACATATTGCAATACAATTCATGCTCAGAACCAGAGCCCAGCTCCCGTCCTCCCCAGGCCTCCCTCCCAGCCTTTCCCAGATTGGCAGAGGGCGTCCCTTGCTGGGTTACTCAGGCCACTGTCTGGGCCCTCTGATAGACTTGTTTTCAGGTCAGCAGCCACATGGAGCCAGCAGCAAGACCTCATTCCTGCCTCAGGGCCTTTGCACCTAATTCTCTTTCCAAGAGAATCATGGGGTTTGCTCCCTTAATTTTCTCAGGTCTCTACTCAGACACTATTTTACCAATGAAGTGTTCCCTGCACACTTGGAGTCTACAGTTGAAACATCCAGTGCCCTTCTACACCCCAGACTCCTACCCCTCATCCCAAAAGAAAGATGAAAAGGGCTTCCCTCTGTTGGCAGACAGCTCTGACCCTCCTGGTTGACCCATGGTCAGTCAAGGTCAGCACACTCTAGTCCTGGCTCCTTGGGAGTCTGAAGCAGGAGGATTACTTGGGCATAGCCTGGTCAACATGGTGAGACCTCATTTCCAAATAAAAGACTATGCTTAAGTGGCAAGTGTCTTTGAACCCCATGTGGCATTGCTTTGTGTTGGTGGCCCCACTCAGGCCAGATGTTTAATCACAGGGGGCTTAATCCATGCCTACCAAAGGCCTGGTGGCTCTGGTCAGGAAAACACTGCAGCCGTGGTCAATAACGCCAGTTCAGATGATAGGCAGCTGCCTCACTGTGTTTTCTCTAGAAAAGTCAACCCCAGGTCAGACTGAGTTTTCTCTGGGCAGCTTGAGTTATTTTAAAACATATTATGGGATACTCATGTACACCCAAAGAGTGTAAGCATCGTGAATTAGCACAACCCGGAAAGCTGCTGGGCGTCGCCTCGACCTTCAGGTCTGCTCACAGGTCATCTCTAGAGCAGGGGTCGGCAGACTTTTTCCAGGAAAGTCTGCTGGAAAAAGCAGCGGCACTCACAGCTCCTTAGGTATTTTCACAGTCGGCATAGTTGGTGTGCCAGCCATGCCAGCCTGGGCACCGGCCAGAAGCAGCTCTGCTGGGCTGCTTTGGGCCCTGCCGGCCACCAGGTGTTTTGCAACTCTGTAAATCTGGAGCAAGCTCTGCTGTGGTAGGAGCCCGAGGCCCGACCTAAACAGAGGACAGCCATGATCTGATAAAATGCTACTCGTGGAGACTGAAGTTTGATTTCACTAGAAAGTTTTCTCATGTTATAAAATATTGTTTAAAAAGGCAAAAAAACATTCTTAGAACACAGGCCATTCAAATACAAGGACAGAGTGAAATTGGCCGAGAAACTGCAGTGTGCAGAGCCCTGCTCCAGGGCAGGCGTCCCTTGGACCTTGCGGGGAGAGGGGTGCTGCACGTCTACCCCCACCCCCCACGTGGCTAGCTGGCACTTGAGATGTGGCCAGCATGGCCAAGGAACTGAAGACTTAATATTGTTTTAATGTGAATTTTAGCCAAGCGGCTCCCACCTTGGGCAGGGCGGGTCTGAGGGGTCTCCTGCATGTGAGCAGCAAGCTTGGACAGAGCTGCCGTGACTGTCCTGTTCCTGTGCAGCAGAGTCCTGGGACTGCAGTGTGTTGACATGATGGAGAACGCTTGCTCTGTGACAGCAGCGGTGCACCCCACCTGTTTTGCCCTGCAGGCTGTGGCCACCGAGTGGCAGTGAGAGTCACCAGCCGTTCTTGGCGGTCCACAGGATGAGTGAGTCTTAGGTGCCCAGGCTGTGAGGAAGCAAGTCATAAGACACTGCAGACTACATGACACCTTATTAAAACCTTTAAAACACAAGAAAATGGAGCAGGGGATTCCATGGTGACATTCGAAAAGGAGGGGCACTCCCTCTGGCAGAGGAGGAGGTGGGCTCTGCCTGTGACGGCTAGGCTGGTTGGGGCTGCATGCTGCCCATCTCCAGGTCATGGGGAGGCTGGCAGGGTCGGTGTTGACCTTGGAGAAGGGAGTTCTCATGGAGCAAAACTAATGGCCAGTTCTGCCTGGCCTCTGCCCAGTGAGGCTGGTGTTCCATCGCAGAGGGCTGTTGGTCGCCTTGGTTGGGTGCTTAGATGGGAAGACCTGGCTATTAGTCAGAACAAAGGGTAAAACCTTTGGCTCCAAATGTCGGTTTCATTAAACCTAATGATGAGGGGAATATTACCAGATCCCAGCTAAGAGAACAGCTGGAAAATGGAAACACATAATCATCATCAAAGTATCATTAAAAGGAAATCCTGAAGACACCTGGGGGTGTCAGGCCAGCTCGCACAGCCTTTCTCCTGAGTAGCTCCCGGTAAGTGGGCTCAGCCTGTCGCTGAGGATGGGTCTGCGGTAGCAGTGCCAGCATCTGGCACCGAGTGCATTGTAAATCGTGTGTCGAGCTTTTCAATATGACGTGTTCATCTTTGACTTTATTTCCTTATTGTTCCGTCTTCACTCTTTCCTGAGTTACTGACATGGGTTTATCTTTTCTCCCTTTAGAGAGTTTTGAGGTGACAGTCACCAAAGAAGGTGATCAAGGGTTCTTTGTTTCCCTCTACTGAATATTAACCCACTAACTTTGTTTTTAAAATTGGGAATCAGCCCTTAAACAGAAGCAACTGTCATGCTCCTTTGCTCCTTTATTCTCCTACTCTGTTGCTATTTTAAAATGTATTGACGGAAATTGTGTGTAGCCAGACCTTGGCTAGAAATATCTGGAAATCAGACATCCATTTGAACCACACAGACAGCACCGTGCATTTTTTTTGTTAATTCAACCTCAGAGATTTGCTTCATAACAATTTTCTATTTGTTGGAATCATGGAGGAATTCAGTCTTACTTTTGTGTGAAATATGTTTTGTGGAGTTTCGAATACATGTCAGAACATTCACGCTTGTTCTCCCACGGGCCCATGTGGAGACGTGCCCTTGAGCTCCTCATGACGCTTCTGAGCCAGTGTCGCTGTGGTTGGTCCCTGGCTGGGTCTCTCTTCAGGTGTGGTAGGATAAAGGGAACCTAGCCGAGCTCCCAGGACAGAAGCCGGTGACGGCTGTTGAAATGGATGCCTGAAAGTTGGTATTTCTACCTTCTCCAGCGGCTTGTTTTGATTCCCTAATTTTAGCCAGGCTCATTGCACAGGAAGACTTGGTTCTTATGATTTTTTTTCTTGACAGAATTTCTGTATTACGGTGCTGGTCCTATATCTCACACTTCTTCCTCTCTCAACACTTAACTGCTTTTTATCCTCTCTCTGGTCCAAATCCAAAGAGCTGCCGCCTCGGGTGGCCGGGAGCCCTGGTGCTCAGGCCTGGGCTCTTGCTAAAGAGACTCCTCAGTGCTCCTGTGGAATGCCTGTCTCTGTCTCCTCTCTGTGTTCCTGCATGAATGGATGCAAAGTAAACAAGTTGCTTGGAAAGCCAGATTGCTTTTTTTTTTTCTTTTTACTAAAGCCCCCGAACTCACCCGTGTTAAAAGCACAGTGCCCCCTGCTTTGTCCACGGACCCTCCAAACCCCCTGGCTGCAGAATTATTGTTTATTTTCTCTGGGGGAGGTTGGCATGTGCCGTGGGTTCCCATGGCAGCAGTTCTAACCTGCTCTGCTTTGACTCCCCAGGTGAGATTTGTGGCTTTAAAATTCACGGGCAGAATGTCCCCTTTGATGCAGTAGTAGTGGATAAATCCACTGGTGAGGGAATAATCCGCTCAAAAGAGAAACTGGACTGTGAGCTGCAGAAGGACTACACGTTCACCATCCAGGCCTACGACTGCGGGAAGGGTCCCGACGGCACTGGCGTGAAAAAGTCTCATAAGTAAGCAGGCCGCAGTGGGAGAGCCCCAGAGAGCGTGCACGTGAGGAGGAGGCAGCCCTGCTGTGTTCCCAGGCTGCCCATGTGTAGGGATTTAAGGCAGAGGCACCCTCAGGGGTCTGCGCTGTGTCAGGGTTGGTCCGCCCTCATGCACGGCTCCTAGCCAGAGCCCACCATGTACCGTAGCAGGTTCTGAAAAATAAATGAATGGGTAATTTTATCCCACCAAATACGCTGTTAAAGAAACAAGGCCTGGGCTGGGGAGGTGCCTCAGTGGTAGAGTGCCCCTGGTTCAGTCCCCAGAGCCACAAAAAAAGAGGGGGGGCAGGATTGGTATCCTTTTGGTAAAAAACAGAACAAAACCCCAAAACCCAGCTTTCCCCCCCCCTTTGTCCAGAGCAACTGTCCACATTCAGGTGAACGATGTGAATGAGTACGCGCCCGTATTCAAGGAGAAGTCCTACAAAGCCACGGCCACGGAGGGGAAGCAGTACGACAGCATCCTGAGGGTGGAGGCCGTAGACGCAGACTGCTCCCCGCAGTTCAGCCAGATCTGCAGCTATGAGATCGTCACCCCGGATGTGCCATTCACCGTGGACAAGGATGGTGAGCACAGGGGCTGCCCAGAGCAGGGCCCCGGCCTGGTGGCCTCATGTTCCGCCAGCCTGTAACCGCTGTGCCTCAGCCTCCACTTTTACTCTGTCATGGCACCCTTGGTCTCAGCCCTTTTGTAATGCTGCTGGTGGATGTTGCTTACAGCCAGGCAGGATGCGGGTCAGTGGTCTCCAGCCTGAGCTTCTTCCTGGGTTGGCCTTGGTGGCTTAATGCACTTGCCATTTGTGTTTCATTCGAGGATGTGGACCAGGTGACGATGGTTCTCTGTTGTTTTTTTCTCCACTGCCAGGTTATATCAAAAACACAGAGAAGCTCAATTACGGCAAGGAGCGTCAGTATAAGCTGACCGTCACAGCCTATGATTGTGGGAAGAAAAGAGCCACGGAAGATGCTCTGGTGAAGATCAGCATCAAGCCCACCTGCACCCCTGGGTGGCAAGGTGAGCGGCAGTCTCCCTTCACCCTCAGGCCTGTTCTGGAAACCTGGGTTCCGTGGGAACCTAAGTGTGTGTTTCCCTTCTTTCCTCCCTCACCAATGGTCGCCCAGGCTGGAGTGACCGGGTGGAGTATGAGCCTGGCACGGGCACCTTGGCTGTGTTCCCGAACATCCACCTGGAGACGTGTGCCGCGCCGGTTGCCTCCGTGCAGGCCACCGTGGAGCTGGAGACCAGCCATATCGGCAAGGGCTGCGACCGAGACACCTACTCTGAGAAGTCCCTTCACCGGCTCTGTGGTAAGGAGGCCTGTGTCCCCAAGCTGTCCTTCCCCAGGGAGGGTGAAAGACGCTGCAGCAGAACCCATGTGTGTTGTGGGATAGTGATGAGGGAACAGATTAGCTTCCAAAATGGCTTTTGCTGCCTTGCTGGATGATGTTCACCCCGAACATCATTACGGAGTGCGTAAGCCCTAGAAGTCCATCCAGGATGCTAGGTGTATGTGCATCTAAGAACCACGGAGTTGAAGATAGTAACATACATTGAGTCATCCAAATAAGGGTGACACAGGAATGAGCCAGACCTGGTAGCATGCTGTGGTTCCAGCCACTCAGGAGCTTGAGGCAGAAGGATCCCTTGAGCCCCAGAATTCAAGGCCATCCTGGGCAATAGAGCAAATTGTAGTCTCAAAACAAGAACAGTCAGGTATGGTGGTCTCATCTATAATCCCAGGGACCCCGGAGGCTGAGGCAGGAGGATCAGATCAGCCTGGACAACTTAGGCCCTATCTCAAAACAAACAACAAAAAAGCAAAACCAAAGTATCAGAATTGTTAAATGGTAAATATGTGGAAGGAGAGAATCACACTCTGCCGGCATGCCTGTGAGGAGGACACAGGTGTTCGTGTCTCTGAGCCCAAATGTTCACAGTCATGTACTTGTGTGGTTGTAGACTAAGAGGCTGGGGACGTTTTACATGTCAAACTCTGCATATCTGCACAGCATGCAAAACTTGTTTCCTTTCTCCTAATACCACTGTTTCTTGTGGTATTAAATCCACATCTTCTTAGTAGAACAGCTGAAAGGCAGAATAGGAAGGATTTAATTTTTAAATTCAGGCATGCGTTTTACCCTATGCTAGGTACTTCATGTGGTTTTAACTTAGCCTTCCCAATAGGCCCACTGAGTAGGCGGCATTGACTGTGTTTTTACGGAGGAATCAATTGAGATCAAGGGAGGTTAAGTAGCTCGTCCAGTGACACGTTTCAGGAAGTAGCATAACTAGGATTTGCATTGAGATCTCTGGTTACTCAAAAGACTAGGCCAATCCAGACCAACCACACAGGGGTCGAGGACCAAGCAACCAAGAGAGTGTGAAAGATCTTTTTCAGTACACAAACTTAAAAGAAAATTTGGGGGCTGGGGAAAACCACAGTGGCACAGTACATGCTTAGCTTGTGTGAGGCCCTGCTCTCCATCCCCAGCACCCAAAAGAAAAGAAAAGAAAAAAAAAAAACACCTGACCTTGGCAATACATGACGACAGTTGTAGGATCATTTCCTATTCTTTGACTTGGTAATTCCATTTCTGGAATTTATCCTTGGAGCATAATCATGGGGCCACACAAATGCTCATCAAGGAGAGGCTGATGATGGGAAGGAATTGGAAACAGCCTCGGTGTCCCCAGGGAGAGGGGCTAAGTGACAGCAGCCTACCTGTTTAAAATCAGGCTGTAGAAGAAACTGGAGGGGTGGGTGGGAGGGTGTGTGGGGGTGTGGGTGTGTGGGGGTGTGGGTGTGTTGTGTGCATGGCAGGCCTCGTTCTTAGCAGAGTTGATTGCATGTGTGCACACTTCAAGGAGGCCTCTCTAATGCTGACACACAAGTGCTGTACGTACTTGGGTGGGTAATTAACAGTCCTTCATTTGTGAAGAAGAGTAAACCAGGACCAGCAAGTCGTCCAGCAGCAGATGAAGCCAGCTTCTTGGAGTGGCTTGGCCCCCTGGAGCTGTGGGCATACGCTGAACTGACGGTCAGTGTGGTGTGGTTTTAGGGGCTGCCACTGGCACTGCCGAGTTGCTCCCTGCCCCCAGCAGCTCTGTGAACTGGACCATGGGCCTCCCCACGGACAACGGCCACGACAGCGACCAGGTGTTTGAGTTCAACGGCACCCAGGCAGTCAGGGTCCCCGACGGCCTTGTTTCTCTCAGCCCCAGAGAGCCCTTCACCATCTCCGTGTGGATGAGGCACGGGCCTTTTGGCAGGAGGAAGGAGACGATTCTTTGCAGTTCAGACAAAACAGGTAGGTTTCTTTTCTGAAGACACTGCTGCTGTCCAGGGTCTGGGGGGGGTGGCCTCTGGAGGCAGGTGCCCTTCCTTCCCAGAGCCTCAGGCGAGCTGGTCGGTCTACGGACACCCTTTGTGCCAGGGGCATTTTGTCCTCTAGAGACCCTATCAGCATTCAGGGCTTCATTAGTTTTGCTCGGTGGATTATCGTCAGCAGTTACCACGGGCACAGTTGCTCAGTAACGCCCGAGTGTATTTGTTCCTAAACCCTCCATGGCCCATCTGGAGGGTTCATTTATGCAGATAAAGTTGTGTCTTCAGAATAAATTAAAGAAACAGCTGTGGTTCCTCTCGAGGATCTTAAGTTGGCATTTTACCCAAAGAAACTGTCTTGCAGATATGAACCGACACCATTATTCCCTGTATGTCCATGGGTGCCGGCTGGTTTTCCTCCTCCGCCAGGATCCTGCTGAGGAGAGGAAGTATAAACCTGCAGAATTTCACTGGAAGTTGAATCAGGTGAGCAAAGAAAGACTCATCAATTACATTTTTTTCTCTTTCCACATTTTTTATTGGTGTGGTATAGTTGTATACAATGGCATTTGTTGTTACATATTCCTACATGTACATAATATAACCATGTAATTTGGTCAAAATTACTCCCCAGCACTTTCTCCCTCCCTCTCCGTCTCCCTCCCCCTGGTCCCTTTCCTCTACCCTACTGTTCTCCCTTCAATTTTCATGAGACCCACCCACCTATTTTTTCCTTTCTCTCCTTCAGCTTTCACATACGAGAGAGAATATATGACCCTTGACCTTCTGAGTTTAACATAATGGTCTCAAGTTCCATCTATTTTCCTGCAAATGACATAATTTCATTTTTCCTTATGACTGAATAAAACTCCATTGTGTACATACACCACATTGTCTTTATCTGCTGTAAACATGTGTCACTGTAATGACTAATTTTTCAGGATAAATACCAAGGAATGGAAATAGCTGGGTCATAGGATTCCATGCCTAGTCTTTTGAGGAACCTTCACAGTGATTTCCGTAGTGGTTGTACTAGTTTATAGTCCCACCAACAGTGTAAAAGTGTTCCTTTTTCTCTGTGATCTCTCCAGAATTTATTATTATTTGTATTCTTGATGACCACCATTCTGACTGGTGTGAGATGAAGTTTCAGTGTAGTTTTGATTTGCATTTCCCTAATTGCTAATGATGTTGAACATTTTTTCATTTATTTGTTGCCCATTTGTGTTTCTTCATTTGAGAAGTTTCTGTTTAATTCATTTGCCCATTTATTAATTAGGTTGTTATTTGGTGTCAAGTTTTTTTTTAATAGATTCTAGATATTAATCCTTTGCCAGGAGAGTAATTAGCAAAGATTTTCGGCCTTTCTGCCGGTTCTCTCTTCGCATTCTTTTCCTTTGCTGTGGGGAAGCTTTTTAATTTGATGCCTTTCCCACATGTTAACTCTTGGCATTATTTCCTGAGCTTTAGGTGTCTTACTGAAAAAGTCATTGCCTTTGCCCACATTGGGGTGTTGACCCTCTGTTTCCTTCTTGGAGTTGCATGGTTTCTGGTCTAATTCCTAGGTCTTTGATCCATTTTGAGTTGATTTTTGTGCAGGGTGAGAAATAAAGTTGTAGTCTCTTTCTTCCACATATGGTAACCAGTTTCCTCAGCACCATTTGTTAAAAAGGCTGTCTTTTCTCCGATATTATGTTTTTGGCATCTTAATTGCAATTTTTAAGAGGAACTAGCTACTGCAACCTTGCACATGGCTGGTGTAAATAGAAAAAAAAAATATATATATATATATAATGTATATATAATATTTTTTATTATATATAAATGGATTTTTTTAACTTTATTTATTTGTGGTGCTGAGGATCGAACCCAGGACGTCACACATGTTAGGCAAGTGCTCTACCACTGAGCCACAACCCCAGCCCTAGTCAGAATATATTTATGATTTTATTTCTGTGTCTGTGGTTAAAAGGATAGTAAATTAAATCTCTTTAACTCCATTTCACTGAAAGCCTCAAGTTTGTTCCATGTGTGTATTTATATGTATAATATTGATATAAAAATTGCACATTTTAAATTCAACATACTGTTATATAAGGAGCACTTGCTGAAAAATTGGATTGAGATACTTGTATTTGTTCACTCGTTCATTATTTAAGGCCTAGGCTACCACATCATGCTGAGGATCCCCAGGGTGACAGAGCTGTTCGGTGGCCGTTCAGCAGTTTTGGCACCATAGCATGTGTTAAACTTTCAAGCAATTTTGACATCGGTCAAACCCGCCTGAGCCACTAGCTTGAGTGGTAAACAGTTTTGATATTAGATCATGTCCCATTCCTTTTGATGATGTTGTTTCTCTGCAAAGCTAATTTTCCAATAGTTGCTGTGATAAAAAGCAAATATTACACAAAAATCCACGTGTTACAGGAAATGAGAGGACACTGTCATCTGAGAGAGCCTTCTCAGAATCAGAGCTGACCATTTCTTCTCTTGATTCAGGACTGGACAAGAAGGGAATCTTTGGCCAGTCCCTATTGTCCTAGCTTGATTTTATTTAGCTCCTGGAGTTCATGGGCAAAGGCTGGCCTGGTTAGACGCACCTGTGGTTGCTCAAATATAATGTCCTCTAAAAGAGCTGCAAGATAAAAACAGAGAAGTTTGAGTGAGGACAGGGCCACCTAAGCAGCACTGACTAAGGGCTCAGTTGGTAGAGTGCTTGCCTAGCATGCACAAGGCCCTGGGTTCAAATCCCAGCATTAACTAAAAAATTTTTAAAAAAGAGCATTCAGAAGCTTGAGTGGGGAAGAGCGTGTGACTGTGGTGAATTCACCTCTTCCTGGTGTAATTGTTATTTACATAAATAATTATATTTTTTCAGAAGCTTTTACCGTTATGTTTTCTAAGAAACTAAAGAAAGGTATAATCTGGAAAAAATACTTTTTTCGCATAAATAGATATTTTAGGCATGTTACTTTGTGTTTCATGTTTAGTTTCTTTTGATTACATATTTTTAAAAACTTAATTATGAAAAATTTTAGACATGTAAAAGCAGACAGATTAGCATACAGAGCAACCCTGCAAACCCTCTGGCAGTGGCCAGCTCCCGGTCAGTCTTGCTTCATTGTTGCACCCCTTCACTGTTAATCTTTGTCAACCTCCTCAAAAACAGCTTAATAATTTTCAAGAAATCCGAGGCAGGCCGGGTGTGACGGCACATGTATGTAATCCCAGGGACTCAGGCATCTGAGGCAGGAGGACTGTAGGTTGCAGGCAGTGGGGGGCTGGGCAGTGCCCCTGTCCGGGGCCTGTGCCCCAAGGAGAGGGAAGTACCCTAGAGATGATGCTCTGTCCCTGTTGGTGACATTTGAAGAACACTTCATCACTAAACTTTTTAAGAAAATTTTTTTTTAGTTGTAGATGGACACAATATCTTTATTTTATCTATTTTTATGTGGTGATGAGGATTGAACCCAGGGCCTTACAAGTCCCAGGCAAGTGCTCTGCCACTGAGCCCCAGCCCCTGCCCTCATCCTTAGACTTCTAAGTCCTTCTCTTGTTGGGGCAGCCTGTATTCACTCCTTACCCCGCTGTGCTGCTCTCTCCACAGCTGTGGACAAGAGGGCAGGTTGACAGCTTGTGCTTCCTTGGCTTCTGGTAGGTCTGTGATGAGGAGTGGCACCACTTTGTCCTCAACGTGGAGTTCCCGAGCGTGGCTCTCTACGTGGATGGTGTCTCTCACGAGCCCTTCTCTGTGACCGAGGATTACCCGCTCCATTCATCCAAGATAGAAACGCAGCTTGTGGTCGGAGCTTGCTGGCAAGGTAAGGGCAGTGCTCCCCAGGCCCAGCCATGGGATCGCGCCTCTGTGCTGCGCTGGTGGGAGTGGGCTCTTACCAGCTTCTTACACCCCGGACCCTGGTTTCTCATTTCCTTTATCTTTCCCTTCCTCCTCCTGTGCGTAGCCTTTCTGGGGACACTGCTGTGTCATGCTACAGCACAGCCCGTCTGAGGTACTCCGTAAAGGTGACTGTGAGCCCTGCACACTCCATCACCCTCCCACTCACTGGGAGGGAGCAGCACGGAGGGAGTGTGTGGTTGTGGGAATTGCTTTACAAATCATCTTCTCACTGAAGTTACAAGAACAAAGGAGCAACAGTCAGCGATCAGGCACAGACAACATAGAGGACTCGGAAATCTCTGGGCTGAGGGACTCTGCCAAGTTCTGAGCGTTTGACAGGCTGGTAGGAACCTGGTCAGGGAACTGCTCTGGTGTGGAGAGCTTTCTGTGGGGCACATGGCGTGGCGTGACTCACACCAGAGCGGCCGCACCACTCCCTCCTGCTTACTTGTGCAGGCTGTGGGCCCTCTCCATTATCTGCTACCTCTAGTAATCCCTAGGGTCTGCTTTGTAGCTAAAGAAACAGAGGCTCGGTCCAGGATCAGCCAGTGGGTAACCACGGAGCCAAGATGCAAACCGGGCAGCCAATGCCCTCAGCCTGTGCTCTGACCCGTTGGACCTGGGCCTTTGAGCGTCTCCTACGAAGCTGAGCCTTTGCTTTTGCTGACGCCTGTGGGCCTCTAGTCTACAGCACTCGGTCCCTAAGCCCCCGTGAAATCGAGAGAACCAGCTTACCTGAAATAGCAGCCAATGTGCTGAGGAATTAGCAGTGAACGTTTTGCCCATGGTGCTCTAGTAACCTGTGGAGAGTAAGCCTTAGTGGCAGGACCTGGAGCGGCCGTAGTTCAAAGTTGAAGCACTTTGTGACCGTACTTTGATATCTGCAACTGCTGTGGCATGATATGAAAATATCAGTGATTTTTATTGATGACAAATTGCAGTTCTTGCTAACACTGGTGTGGTATGTAGCCTACATTTATAACCAAGGGAAATGCCACATGTCAGAAGTTAGTGGAAATGAGCCTTAATTTTTTCGACTCAAGTTCATGGACCCCTCAGTCTCCCCTGGGGGTTCATGTGCCCCGCTTAACTCCATTTCTTTTCATTTCAGGGCATCAGCATCACTACATGGGGGGGGCTGGGGTTGTGGCTCAGCAGTAGAGCACTTGCCTAGCATGTGTGAGGCCCTGGGTTCCATCCTCAGCACCACATATAAATAAATAGAATAAAGGTATTGTGTCCAACTACAACTAATAAGTAAATAAACAAACAAATAAATAAATAAGCATCACTACATGTGCTCCCTGAACAGACCTTTGAATATTTTTCCCCCCTAAAAAATCAATAGGTTGACTGGGGTTAAGAACTTATGGGGGTGGGGGAGCCTAATTCACAAGAGAGATTTCTTTTTTTTTTGAGACAGGGTCTTGTTAAGTTGCTAAGACTGACCTTGAACTTGTGATCCTCCTGCCTCAGCCTCCTGAGTTGCTGGGAGTACAGGTGTGAGTTAACATGCCTGGCCAGATATACTTAGGAGAATGCAGGTTCTTTAAAGTGAAGAGTAGTAAGGCAGTGAATTGGCATGTGCCTCTTCAATCAGATCCCTTAATTTTGGTGACAGCCAACCATGAGGAAGTGCAATGAGAGACCAAGGAATGAGAAACAAATTATGAAGCATTTTTAAAATTGATATTTTTAGACTTTTCAGTTCAATGCTTCCTAGATTAAACAATAACTCTTGAATGATATTTTTAAAACTAGAGTAAAAACACAGGTGTGAACCTAGATGGGACTTCTCTCCTAGGAGCTTAGTTGCTGTGGTTAACATGAACCACCAGCCCGCGCTGCTGCCTTTGGCTCCTGTTCATGTCATGGTATCTCTGCCATCAGATAGAGATGACTTTTTATTCTCTCTTTTTACCTTACCCATCTCGGCACCCTTAGCTGAAAATTCACTTAAATTCCCAAACCAAACACACTCAAATCCTACAAAGTTAGTTAACAAGAAGGAGGGTGTCCTTTTTCCTTTTGGTAGATAGGAAATGCTTTCCTTGATAGTTTACTGTGGAGAAAGCTGGGCCTGGGGCAGCAGCTCATCTCCAGGACGTCAGTGTCACCTGTAAGGGTGCATTACAGGAGCCCTGTGTTGGATGTGGAGGCTGCAGAGGGCTTCATCTGAGCACAGGTCTAGCCTGGCACCTGACACCTCTCCCCCCTGCTGAACAGAGGTGCCTCAGTAGACTGCAGAGACCAGTGTCCAGAGCAGCCCTGCTCCCCGAAAGCTGTCCTGAGGGCATTGGTCACACCCTCAGCTGGGAGGCGAGCGCCCCGCCCTGCCAGGCCTTATACTCAACCCTAACCCATGTCTGTGGCAGCGGTGGCTGGTGTGCGCCCCAGGCTCACCATAGCTTGTGCTTCTCTGGGTGAGTTCCTCAACCTCTCCTCCGAGAAAGTGCTTACAAATGTCTTTGTTGCTTAGAAGTCCAGACAGATGCGAACTGTTTGGAGATTCCAAAAAGCACATGCACCAGGCCTTGGACCCCTGTGTGTGCTGTCCCACTGTGTCTGTATAGAGACTGTCGCTATTTGGGAGCAGGGCAGAGCTCGCATAGGGTGGCAGGTGACAGCACTGCCTCGGTGCTCCTCTCCTTGGGTGCCCTCCTTGTGGCTCAGGATGATGGGATCTGTGAATTCCATGTCTGTGCTTTTATTCTTCATCTTTTAAGTCTATTTCATGTTGCAGCAGGGAGGATACAGGAAGACAGGACAGAAGAAGAAGAGTGAGGGGTGTGGACCTGGCGTCTGGGCATGGGTGATGGAGTGCCCGCTCGCACCCAGGTGGAATATGTCCTGCAGAGGGCTGAGGAGGGGTTTTCTCTCTGGGTTTTGTATTTGGATGCTTCAAAACTGATTTTCGCCATCCACTGTGAAGAGCCTAACCTGTCGGTCCTTTTCTGTTGTCTGTCTTGCTTTTCTACAGAGTATTCAGGAGTTGAAAATGACAATGAGACTGAGCCTGTGACTATGGCCTCTGCAGGTTGCTGGATTTTTCCCCCCTACCGTTCACTGTTTTGTTTCATTTAAAGATGAGACATTGATTCATTCCACGTGTCGCATGAAACACGCAAGTTGCATTTTGGTCCTGGCTGCCCTTCCAGCAGCTTCACTGCATTGTGCTCCCCACCCCCACCCTGCCTCATGATTCCCATGGAAGGGACGGCACGTGACTCATTCCCTCAAAGCACTCATAGGCTTTTAGTTCTCATCAAGTTTATCTTGGTCTTGCTGCACAGGGATCCCTGCTGAATCTCCAGGCTGGGTTTGGGAGGCCACCATGTGGTGCTCAGGCGGCTGAGCCACAAGACAGGAAAAGACTCTTCTAGCCTTTCTTTCCTGTTCGGTACTGAAGCTCAAATAGCTATTTCTTAGAAATCTCAATCCCTAGTGATGGCTTGCCATGCCCAGTGACTTTGTCAGACAAGACCCATGAAGGTCTGTCTCTTCTCCGTCACTTCAAGGCTGGTGTAGATTTTGGCTCTTTGTTCTAGTCCATCAGGGACCATTTGGTGGGTTTTTGTTTTCCTGGTCATGTCTCTGCTTCCTGGATTTCTGCAGAAGTAGGAGACAGGAATGACAGGGCTCGACAAGACGGTGGCTCCCTGAAGGGCCTCCACAGGCCTGGGGCAGGGTGCGGCTTCAAGTGTCCCTGTGTTCCTCCCCTGCTCGAGTGTATTCTAGTTAGAGGAAGCAGCCCCCAGAGCGCTCAGCTGACCAGCAGGCAGGGGCTGGTACTGGTAGGGAGTGTTGCCGGACACCCTGGTGGTGGATGCAGGGTAGGCCACCATCGCCAGGGAGAGGCTGTGTGTGTGGGGACTCTGATGGGGCCTCTTAGTTCCTGGCTTGGGGTGAGGGACCCCCAGCTCCTCTCTTCTCCAGGCCACATGCATGATCACAAACAATTTAATTTCTTCATTGCGCTTCCATGTAGATGGCAAGGCTAACAGGATTTGGTCAGAACTAACCTGCATGTCCATCCATCGAGCTGCCACCACCGGTAACACTGCATTGAGAAATTAACCAGGAGTGCCAGGGACATACGCCTGACTTCTTTCTTCTCCCCCCTGTTCCAAAGGTGGCGACTTACACATGACCCAGTTTTTCCGAGGTAACCTGGCTGGGCTAACGGTACGTTCTGGGAAACTCGCAGATAAGAAGGTGATTGACTGTCTGTATACCTGCAAAGAGGGGCTAGACCTACAGGTCCCTGAAGATGTCGGCAGAGGCGTGCAGGTAACACTGGGCGGCCACCTGGCCCACACTCATGGGCCCCTCAGGCACAATGGAGAGCCCAGTGGAACAGGCAGAACTCTGGGATGATGACGTTTGCACCTGAGTTGTTACCTGGAATTATACGAGCTTTTCAAGTCACCCATTCAAATAAATCCAGGCTAATCCTCTGCCAGAGCAGCCAGGGCCTCAGCAGCAGCATCAGAGCCTCATTCCTCTTCTACCCCTTTGCTGTGATTTCAGATCCAAGTAAGCCCAAGCCAGTCGGCCTTGACCTTGGAAGGAGACGACATCTCGGAGCTGGATAAAGCTCTGCAGCACGTCTCCTACCTGAACTCACGACAGTTCCCCACGCCAGGCATCCGCAGACTCAAAATCACCAGCACAGTCAAGTATGTCCTGATTTCTAGAAATGAGCTCATTTTCACTCAGTGACAGTTGAGAGGAAAAGTGTGCTTTTAGGTTGCAAGATGCCCTGGCCTCCCTTCTGTGAGGAAGGGCCAGCGCCACACTCCCACATGGTGGGGTGGGAGGTCTGCTGATGGCTGTGGTTTGTGCAGGGGCCATCATTCTCTGTCCCCAAGGTAGTGGGGACCCGTGCAGTCCCCCTCCACCACCCTTTGTACCTGAGGATTCCCAGGTGGCCTTCAGAGCCCTGACTGCCTCCTGTTTCTTGCTGGTAGGTGTTTTAATGAGGCGCCCTGCATTGCGATCCCCCCAGTCGAAGGCTACGTCATGGTTTTGCAGCCGGAAGAGCCCAGGATCAGCCTGAGTGGTGTCCATCGCTTTGCCCGAGCGGCTTCTGAGTTTGAGGGCTCAGAAGGGGTTTTCCTGTTCCCTGAGCTTCGAATCATCAGCACAATCACACGAGAAGTGGAGCCCGAGGGGGATGGCCCTGAGGACCCCACAGGTAGGCACAGGCAGCCTCCTCACCTTGCTGCTGTGCACATGCCCCCCGCTCTTCCTCTGGGGTTTTGGGGGCTCTGCCTGGGAGGGCTTTTGACTTGCCTGGTGTCATTGTGCTCTTTGGAAACCCACTCAGGGTCCTTTCCTCTTTCTCTGACTGATGTGCGGCTCTGAGATGTGTCTTTAGGCTCAGTCCCTAGGCGGACAGTGTTCCCGCTGTTATTGCCCAGGATTCATGAAGTACCTTCATTTGTTTTGTTTGTGTATTTATTTTGCACTGGGATCAAACCCAGGGCCTGTGTGTGCTAATAAGCACCCTCTCTACCACTGAACCACACCCTCAGCAGCCCCCTGTTCTTAAAGGTGACTCTTCCTTACCTCTATTGCTGGTCCTTAAAAGGGGTTTGTGAGCTGGCTGTCCATCATGGGGTGGCCAGCCTTGCTGGGCCCCACAGCTTGGTGACTTCTGGTTGGGCCATTTCTGCAGTTCAAGAGTCCCTGGTGTCTGAGGAGATCGTGCATGACCTGGACACCTGTGAGGTCACGGTGGAGGGAGAGGAACTGAACCCGGAGCAGGAGAGCCTGGAGGTGGACACCGCCCGCCTGCAGCAGAAGGGCATCGAAGTGAGCCGCTCTGACCTGGGCATGGTCTTCACAGGTGAGAGAGGTGGACTGTGAAAGCCCTTGGCCACCTGGCTCTATCCTCATCTTCAAACACGAGGAGAGCCAGCACTGCTGCATACTGTCCCCCTCTGCACAGGAAGGGGACACACAGCACTGACTTACATAGGATGGGGCTAGCTAGCACATGCCCCTTAAATGCCCCGCATGATCTGCCTTTGTCTCCTAATTGGAAAGCCACAAATATGTGGCTGCTGACTCAGCAGCCCAGGTACCGACTTTAGCCACTGGGGCCCTGGCTCTGGCCCCACCCAGTTTCCTAACTCGAGCCACCTGACACTCTTCTCAACGCTGACCCTGCAGGTGTGGACACCATGGCGAGCTACGAAGAGGTTTTGCACCTGCTGCGCTACCGGAACTGGCATACCAGGTCACTGCTCGACCGGAAGTTCAAACTCATCTGCTCTGAGCTAAATGGCCGCTACCTCAGCAATGAATTTAAGGTGGAGGTGCGTATAGGGCTCCTGCCCAGAAGAGCCAGCTCTGGTGGTGACGGAGGGCCCTGTGTCTTGGCCCTGATGTTGGCAGATGCCAGTCCTTAGCACAGTCACGGCAGCAAGAGGCTCATCCCAGGAGCGGCAGCCTTCTCCAGCCTGGGCCTACTGGGTGGACCTGCACAGCCTGTCCTGATGGGTTGGGCTGGAGGCGCTGTGGTCGAGTCAAGCTGCTGCTCCCTTCCACCCGCTGCTACAGCCTGAGTCAGAGCTGAGAAGCTCTGTGGGGAGGTGATAGAGAGCAAGTGGCAGAGAAGGTGCAGGGAGGGATGAGATCGCTGTGTCAGGTTTTGATGTGAGACATGAGGATACTCTTTTAGAAAGAACAGCAGCCGGGGAACTAAAGCATCTTTGTAGCTATGCCAGGTCACTGGCTCTGTTGAGAGTGAATTTGGGTCCTTGGGCTGATGCAGGGACACACCCCAGGCAGGGCTGATGCTTCCCTGGCTGGCAGTGTAACTCAGGCAGGGCAGCATCCTGCTCTGAAGCCTTCAGTGGCCTCTCCTGTGGCTTGCTCGTTGCTAGAGGCCTCTGTGGTCTGGGGAAATGGACCCAGAGTTATTCTTAGCAATTGGCCATCTTCACCAGGACCTCAGTGGCAGCAGTGGACCCACTTCACAGTGTTGATGAGGATTTTATTTGAGCCAAAGGATAACTGATTAGAAAGGAAACACACAGTTACGATATTGCCCTCTCTCGTGGCCAGGCTTGAGCCTAAAGGAGGAACGTTGTCTACCAAGCACTTGCTGAGTGGCGAGGCCCGGAGGCTGGTCTGCTGCTTGGCTCTGTGGCTGGGTTATTTGATGAAGTGCACCGAACAGGGATCATTAGAGAAGTGCTGTTTCTTGGACGTGGACATCAGGCTGTAACAGTGGTCTCTAGGTGCTCGCTCTTTGTTTTTCCTGCTCATGGACGATGCACTATTGGCTTCCAGCAGGGCCAGAGGACACTCTAAGTAGCACTGCTCATACCAGCTGCCACCCCATTTCTTCCCTTGGACACACTCAGGACGCCCGTCCCAGTGATCCTTTCTCTCCATTGCAGGTGAATGTGATCCACACCGCCAACCCTGTGGAGCACGCCAGCCACATGGCCGCCCAGCCACAGTTTGTTCACCCCGAGCATAGGTCCTTTGTTGACCTGTCAGGCCACAACCTGGCCAATCCTCACCCATTTGCAGGTAGGATGCTGGAGGCACATGGGTGGAAACACTGAGTGTCACACAGGGCTCAAGTGGACACCCCTGCCCCACTTAGCTGTTCCCTGTCACACTTGAGGAAATGAGAGCCCTCCCATAGCCACAGTGACCCGGGCAGAGCTATTTCCGGTGTTTCTGACTCCGGGGGTCAGGTGGAGTGTCCCGTCCTCAGAAAGCTGAGGAGGACGGTTGGGAAGGCCCTCCAGCTGGGCGACCTCTCTGAAGCCTTGTTTGTCCTTTCACTCCTTCGACAGTCGTCCCGAGCACCGCCACTGTAGTGATTGTGGTCTGCGTCAGCTTCCTGGTGTTCATGATCATCCTGGGGGTGTTTCGGATCCGGGCTGCACATCAGCGAACCATGCGGGACCAGGACACAGGGAAGGAGAATGAGATGGACTGGGATGACTCTGCCTTGACCATCACGGTGAACCCCATGGAGGTAGGAGCAGACCGGGCACCTCATGTCTGTATGCCTGCGCCTTGCAACCGCACGCCTCTGTGAGCTAGGGTCCTCATATCCAGAGGGGTAGGCTGAGGCTCGAGGGGCCTTCCTGAGGGTCATACCCCCTAGTAAGTGTAAGTGCAGAGAGAGCTGGCCCCAGGCTGGGGCTCCCTCCTGCTCTATCCAGAGACAGTTCTCCACCCAGGGACCCCAGTGCCCCCATCTTGGAGCTCTGCATGCCTCGACTCTATGGGGGAGAGGCCACTCAGCAATGCCCAGGCCTCTTTCTCTGGCCAGTCTCTCTCACTGGGGGTGTCTCCTGCCGCAGTCTGGCTGGGCACAAAATCACGAGCCACTCAAGCAGGAACAAACTTTATTTCTGAAACTCCCGCCAATGCCACGCACTCTCCCGGGAAAAATATGCCGAACCACACACGCGGCGTTCTCCCCGACACACTACCCCAACAGGAAATCCCTCCTCCGGAATTCCCTCCTACCGCACTTTCCCAACCAATGGGAACTCTTTGGGAGTCCCGCTAGAGCTCCAAAGTAGCAGGCCTAGGTGGACAGCAGGGGTCTAATATCCATTTGAATGCAGATCTTAACATAATCATATCATCTCAATGGCTTGCTGGCGTCACCTTTCAACCAAAAATGCCATGCATCATTGCTACTTGGCTATGGCTCTTAGCATCTCCCCCCTTCTGTTTAATTAAGCAACAAGCAATGTGGCTTAGGGACCGTGCCTGTTAGGTTGTCATCGGATGAGCTGACCTCTAGGCGTCAGCCTCCTGTCTTAGGTTGGTACCGCTGCAATTGGGTCATACCCGTCACCGTCCAGCATACAGCCATACTTGTGGATAGGCCTATGCACCAGTGGGGGGGTGAGGTTCTTTGCCTCACCTCTGTTGGCCCCCAAATTTTAGACCATCACTAGAAGGGAGGAGGATACAGAAATGCCATGACACCAAGCCAATTGATGGCTCCTTTAGAAAAATTGTATCACCGGTGACACCATCAGCAAAGATACGCCAGCACTACCACAATTTGCTGCACCAACAGATAGTTCACAATGTATACAAGTGATACATAGTCCAGGCAAGTTCTGCAAGCAGTTCAAAGCGGAGGAATCTATCAATATGTCCATTTCCTCCCAAAGTAAATCGACTCCTTGATTGAGCATTACTTGTTGAGTTGTTATTCATTGATGCATCAGTTTATACAGTTTGTTGTGATAACTGTTGAAGAAGCTGTAGTTTGGTTTCATCTTTGTCTTCACCGGCACTGGGATAAAGATAGGAATTCTGACAATGATGCTAAAAAAAAAAAAAAATTATGTAACATTCCAACAGGTATTAAGAAAACAATTTTCTGAACAATTTACATTATCCTGAACAGAATTATTAAATATAATGAAAAGGAAAGGTGAAAGTACATAAACAGATCTGTTAACCTCCTTATTTGTTCACATATTAAAACAATCCTCAACAGCTGTTTACCCAATTTAAATTAAACCATTAAAATCACGTGAATAAAAAAAAATTCGGATCCATTTATTCATGAGCGCTCCTCATATAAAATTTCCTGTTACTGCACTTTCCCAACCAATGGGAACTCTTTGGGAGTCCCGCTAGAGCTCCAAAGTAGCAGGCCGAGGTGGACAGCAGGGGTCTAATATCCATTTGAATGCAGATCTTAACATAATCATGTCATCTCAATGGCTTGCTGGCGTCACCTTTCAACCCAAAATGCCATGCATCATTACTACTTGGCTATGGCTCTTAGCAGTCTCCCTTCTGCTACTGCTCCTGGAGGGTGGACTCTGGGGATTGGGCCATGAGCTAGACTCATGCCTCTCTAATTGTAGACCTACGAGGACCAGCACAGCAGTGAGGAGGAGGAAGAGGAAGAGGAGGAGGAAGAGGAGAGCGAGGATGGAGAGGAGGAGGAAGACATCACCAGCGCTGAGTCGGAGAGCAGTGAGGAGGAGGAGGGCGGCCCTGGGGACGGCCAGAACGCCAACCGGCAGCAGCAGCTGGAGTGGGACGACTCCACGCTCAGCTACTGAATGCACCCCGGGCTCCTGCGTCCCTGCCTCAGAACACCTGCCACCCTCTCCCAGCCCGTGGGTCCTCGATGTACAAAGTCACTTTGGCCAGCAGGTCTGCAGACCCCCTGTTGCTGATCGTCCTTCCACGCCCGATGTGTAGGACTGTAGGCTCCCGCCCTCTGCCTGTCCCCGCTGGATCGCTCTCCCCTAAGCCAGGAGCTGGCCCTTCCTCCCTGCCGCCTCCTGCCGGCACAGAGGCCACAGCACCACAGGCCCCTGCCAGCCGGCGAGACGCCCACCTCGCACCTCCAGAAGAGTTGCCGTGACTGACTGTAGCTGACAGAGGTGAAATGCTCCTTCCCACCTGGAAATCATTTTTTCTTTTTAAAAAAAAGTTTTTATTTTTTCCAAACCTAGTGCATGTATAAAATGGCAGAATGGGTTAATATGTAGATGATCAACTGACTTTTTAATATTTTGTAAATAAATTGGGATTCTCTGTGTCCTTTGTGCTAGTGTAGTCCAGGACTGGGACGTAAAGTGGAGGGACCCTGGCTCCTGTTTCCCCCCCCCTCAAGAAACTAGGATGGGGAGGCCTGCCCACTCTGGCCAGGGCCTGGGGCTGTAGGCTGTGGCTTGCTGCGTGGGACCAGGTCAGGGGTTTGTGTTTGAAGTGTGGAAATAGCCAGGTCTATTCTTTGGGATTCTGCCCACTTCTAGCATGGTGCTGGGGGTGGGAACTGTGGGGTCCCCGGCCTCTTGTGCATTCCCCAGGACCAGCGGCTTCCTTGACGTCACCCGGGCCCATGTGCAGCTGTAACTGATGCTTCATAACTGTGCATTGCCGGCTGGGGAAGCTCTCTGCGTCATGGACACTGATGGCCATGGTGCAGATCATTGGACCAGTTGGTTTGGAGACAGCAGCGGTTCCCTGAGGGATCCGCACTCAGAATGGAGGAAGGGAAACCCTGAGGCCCCAAGACAGACTCTAGAATGTTCCAAAAGTCTGCATCTACCCCACCCCAGCCCCTGGATGCCCCTGTGTCGGGGTCAGACGCCCACTCCAGGAGCCAGGAGCCCTGCTGCTCTACTCTGGGCCAGGCGAAGGCCAGCAAGCAGTTTGGTCTAGAGCCACACAGCACTTTGCTCTTGTGTACATGTCAGATGCCAGACTGTAAGCCTGGGGTCGTTCTGCTTGCTGTCTGTGTCCTCACTGCTAGTTTTAAGGACACTGATGGCTGGGCTATTGTGTGGCCGCCCTTCCATGTCCAGTCCCCGTAGCTGCTCTGTTTAGACAACGGTAGATGCTAACACAGAGAGGGCCGTCCTCATACAGTCTGTGGCGCCGCGGTGTCCCCTCCCAGATGTGTATATTGATGCTAGGTCAGAAAGTGTATACACTACAATAAAGTTCTGGTTCTAACTCCAGCCCGAGTGGGGTCTGTTTTCTGCCTCGTTTTCACTCTGTGTTCCCTTGTTTCTTTCTGAGCCGAGAACGTAAGAACATAAAAAGGCTTTTATTTCTTTCAACTTGCCTTTATCTCATGACAAACAGTTGCACAGACTCAGCCCACAACGGTGATATTGAACTTGCCTTTCCCATACAGAAACATGAAATGACTTAAAAAAATAGAAAATATTCTCACCAGGCACACAGACCATACACCCAGAAACTGCTGAGGGTGTGCAGGGCCTGCAGCCCACTCCACGGAGCACCCAGACTCAATTCAATAAATAACACAATACACGGACGTACGCGCGGTTTTTCCTATTGCAGAGAAGGCGGGTGGCCTGATTAATTTCAGCATTTAGTTGGGAACAAAAGTGTGACCCCCTAGCTACTGCAGATGAGGCAGGTACTCTGGTGGCACAACAGCTATTCAAAATGGAGAGAGCTGGCACCTGGAATCCCTTTTAGGCTGTGTACCTGGGCTGCTGAGGGGCAGCCGCTGCTGGCTCTGCTGAGTCTTGGGAGGCTTCTGAGAGATCAGCAATGAGCCCAGCAGGTCCTGAGTGGGCTGCTCATGCATCAGCATTACCAGGGCTTTTTTATTTTAAAAAAAGGTTTTTGTTTGCAGTGCTGAGGGTTAAACCCAGGGTCTCATGCATGCTAAGCACATGCTCTACCATCAGGCTCTGTCCCCAGCTCACTGTGGGTTTCTAAAAGCCCAAGTCCTAGTCTGGTGTGGTGGTGCACGCCTGTAATCCAGTGGCTCGGGAGGCTGGGACAGGAGGATTGTGAGTTCAAAGCCAGCCTCAGCAATGGTAAGGCGCTAAGCAACTCAGTGAGACCCTGTCTCTAAATAAAATACAAAATAGGGTGTGGATGGCTCAGTGACAGAGTGCCCCCGAGTCCCCCCCCCAGAGTAAAAAAAAAAAAAAAAAAAACCCCAAACTAAAAGCCTTAGCCCTGGCTGCCTTACCAGATTGGGCTTCAGAAAGCTGGGGCAGGCCCGGAACCTGCAGTAGGGACAGCTGCATTTGTCCAGCCCTTGGGAAGCCTAAACCTGGACCATTTCAAACTAAGTGCCCTCAGAGAGAAAGACCCCACCTTGCCCAGCCAGTGATTACTCCCAGCAGGTTCTCAAAGGCGAGCCCTGGGGGACATCAACCCGCCGAAGCAGGCAGCCTGTTCACTATCACTGCACGACTCCACTCTGACCTTTCACCCTGACCAGGATGAGCTCTGCCAAGCTCATGTTTTTGTACTGTACTTGGGGCAAGGCAGGCTCCACTCCAGCCGTAGAGGTTCAGTAAATAGTTTGGCTATTATTTTCTTACCCGCAGAGAAAAAAAGGTGGGGGCATCCTGTACCCGAGAGTCACTTCAGCAGTGAAGAGCAAGCATCCCTGAGTCTAGAGTGTACCCTGGCTTCTTCGGGAGCTGCCTGGGACTTGGTCAATGGAGGACACACAGGGTGGGCCACACAGGTGGCCGGAGGATAGCTGGGGATTGAGGTGTCCTGTCTGGACAAGAGGCCAAGGTGGGGAGCCCGGGAAGAAGGCTCCCCCAAGAGGAGGTCAGTCTTTGCTGGGAAGATCCACCAGCTGGAAGACTTGGGATGCCAGTCCTCAGACGAGAGCAAGGTACAACCTCAAGGTGCCCGGCTCACGGTGCTCTGACTAGGGACACGGGACAGTGTCCCTCCTCAGCACAAGGATGCATGTCCACTTATGGCTGTTTGGTTCCTTAAACATTTCGAGTCATAAATAAATAACCAGTGTAAACAAAAGGCAATTGTGTGGTCCTTCCCCGTGAGGTGCAGTTCAGGTGTGTCCCCTTCTAGGACGGGTTTGCCAGCGTGTGGCAGCTGGGAGGTGGCTGCTATTGCCGGTTGTCCTTGGACACGTTGTGTGCCAGCCAGTTCACTTTGGTCTTCCAGCTCTCCCTCAGAGCTTCGTTGAACTTCACCCGGAAGTGCTTGAGCGCTTCCTCCTCCGTCTTGCCCAGCGCCAGAGAGTCCTGGGACAGAATTGTCATGGCAGTGTCAACATTCAGGGATCCTGTCCCTGCAGCACCTGCAGCCCCTCCTGCCTCCCTGTACCTTTGCCCCCTCGGAGTATTTGAAATTCCATCCTTTTTAAAAAAACAGTTTTTAGTTATAGTTGGACAGATACCTTTATTTACATTTATTTATTCATTTTTATGTGGTGTTGAGGATCGAACCCAGCGCCTTGCTAGGCGAGCGCTCTACTGCTGAGCCCCAGCCCCAGCCCCAGCCCCTTGAAATTCCCTCCTTAAAGAACTGCACGCAGGGAATTAGGAGCGAGCCACCCATATCTCCCTCTTTTGTCCCAGACCCACACAGAGCCCCTGGCCCAAAGGTGTCTTGGCCCTGAGGCCCCAGATGGCCAGGCGGCCTCACCTTGACTGCGAGAGGGCTGGGGCAGCTTTCTGGAACGCCCTACAGTGTGCAGCCAGCCTTCACCCTTGCCCACCCTGCCTCACCAATGAAGGCACAGGAAGGAAAAGCGTCTTGTAAACCTAGAAGGAACCTGCAACTGGGCAGGACTAGGCCCGGGAGCTCATCGCCCTGCCACTTCCCACTAGGCTGTTCTGCTGGGTCCGGGACGGCTTGTAGGTGGACTTCCCAGGTCCCTGAACTGCTTGGGCAGGACTTGGGAGGTGCACAGTGCCCTGGCCTTCTGCCTGGTGTGGCCCTGGGCTGGCATACCTTCAAATACTGGATGTCTTTGGAGCAGCTGAGCTCAGGCAGGCCTGCTGCCCGCATCAGAGCAAAGAGGTGGAGGAAGAGGAGCCCGTGGCGCCGCAGGATGGTGTAGGCCCGCTCACAGTAGCCCCGGAACCTGCAGGGGAGGAGGCAGCAGGTGAGGCCTGGGTCCTCCCAGCCACGCCCAGCCCAATGCCAGCAGCTGGTCTGCATCCAATTGCCCCTGAGTGTCTGCCTTTGGTCATGGATGTACCCAGTTCCTCTAACTAATGCCCCTGCCCAGGCCTCCTACACCACCCATGGACCTCCTCCCTGCACTGCCCAAGAGGGTGCTCTGGGGTTGGGGGTGCACCTGACAATAAGGCAGCATCCCCAGGGTGGAGACCAGAGTTAGGCTGAGGGCCGAGTTCCTGTCCCTGCCGCCTAGCTGGGAACTGTCCCCTCACTGGGGCCCTGGGCACCCTCACCTTTCAAACTTCTCACTGTTACTAGTCTTGCCCTGCTGAATCACGTGGACAAAGTCGTAGGTGAGGATGAATGGGACTCGCTCACGGTTGATTCCAAACTTGGTCTTGAAATTCCCCAGAAAGTGGCCAAAGTCAATGTGGAAGAGCTGAGGGGAGGGAAGGGCACAGACCGAATAGGTGTCACAAAGCCAGGCTCTGGGAACAGGAAGCCAGGAGGGCTTGGGGCACTCTTCTGGGAGCCATGGGCAGGGCAGAGGGACCAGTGGGCTAGGCTGGAGGACAGGCCTACCTGGCAGATGCCCACAGTGCCCCTTACCTGCCCACTCTCACGGATCATGATGTTGTCACTGTGCCGATCGCCGATGCCCAACACGTAGGTGGCCACACAGTAGCCGGCACAGGAGAGAGTGAACTCCTCAATGGCTCGATCTAGGGCCTCTCTGGGTAGGGAAGATTGAAAATCATGACCACACCGTGGAGTGGCTCCTTCTGATGCCCTCCCCTGAGTCTGGCCTTGTGACTTGCTTTAATCAACAGAACACAGAAGACATTATTCCATTATAGGTCACCTGCCCAGCTTGAAGTTACTCCCTCCTCCCACACACTCCCATGCAAAGAAGCCGAGGTTGATGTGTTAAATGAGGAGAGGCCACGGGAAGGGGTACAACTGACAGCCAGGTCCCTAGGCATGTGACTGGGGTCTTGGGAGATTCTCTGGGCTCAGGCAAAGCCCTGGAAGCCAGCACCAGCCATTTCAAACCCGAGCAGAACCACTCAGCAGAACCTATTCAAGCTGCAGATTTGTGACTGACCACACACGGTGACTGTTTTAAGGCCCAAAGCTTTGAATGGTAGCGCGGAGCAATCAAAAACGGACACGGAGGATAGTGCCCTTCCCCCACCCCAGCCCAGACGTGGGCCAGGCCTCAGCTGAGCCAAGCGGCCATGGAGACTGCCACGGGCCTTCCCTCACCTCTCAGAAAGGAGCAAGCCTCCACCTGGGGCCTGAGACCTACCCAGGGTTCTTGGACTTGAGCCAGTTGAGCAGGGCGTCCTTGTTGAAGGCGGCCGTGGCGGCCATGTTGCTCTTGTTCAGCTGGATGTTGGCAATGGTGTCCGAGTGCAGCACCACCTCAATGAGCCCCGTGCGGTCACCAGTGGGAAGGCAGCCGTAGGGGGTCATCCTAGCGTGTGAGAGGAGAGACAGGCAGACACTGTGCTCAAGGGCAGTCTCTGGTGCTGCTGGACCCAACAAAACTGCAGGGGACGCAGCTGCTCAAGTTCCTGAGGAGGAGGAGGGAGGCGTGGGGCCCTGGGGAAGGTGCCTGGGGGACACAGCACTCACACCCGAGATGCAGAGCGCACCTTGGCCGGGCTCATGTTTGCTCTGAAGAGAATGAGCCAGAGGGCTTGGAAGAAGATGCCACTGCTCCCCAAGCAAGGGCAGGAAATGGGAGCTGAGCACCAGGAGTGGCCTTGCCCACCCTCCTCCAGCTGCTCTTCCCCCTCCCTGCTCTGTTTTGTTCTTTTCTTTTCTTTCTTTCTTTTTTTTTTTTTTTGTATTAGGACCTAAACTCAGGGGTGCTCTGTCACTGAGCCACATCCCCAGTCCTATTTTGTATTTTATTTAGAGACGGGGTCTCACTGAGTGGCTCAGCGCCTTGCCATTGCTGAGGCTGGCTTTGAACTCGCGATCCTCCTGCCTCAGCCTCCCGAGGTGCTGGGATTACAGGCCTGAGCCACCCTGCCCAGCTCCCTGCTCTTCTGAGAGCAGCCCCTCTCCCAGCTGA